GTAAAGAGGACAAAAAGGAACCAAACATATGTCCTTCTTTCCTCTGCCAACTGGGAGCAAAAAGTAGTGGGTAATGGTAGTTTCGATTGTCTCTATTTCTCTCCTGCCTAACCACTTAATGCCTCAGCCCACTGAACAGATGGGAATCATTCCATGCTTTGTGGGGCTCAGCCTTCACCTTGATTTTCTCTGGCAATGGTGCTTTTGAGGTACAGGTGTCCTGAGACACTACAGGGGCTGGGCTAGCTGAATTTCCTGTGTTGGCCTGTGGCCCATGCTTGCAGTAGACATGAGAGCTCACCAGGTCATTATGGGTGCTGCCCTGGCATTGCCCAATGAGTGCTAATACCAACTTCTATGCCAACTCCACTGGCACCGAGCGCTCACCCAGGGCCTCCTCCTCCAGGATCTATCAATAACAATGATACCTTACTATACTGGGCACTAGGGGCTAGGACTGACAGAAGACACCTTTCTTGGAATGCCTTCTCATCTTCTTCTACCCTGGGTCCTCAAGGTTTCCTCAGACCCATGTCCAGCTTTTGAAGCCCCTTAGACCTGATCTCCACTTACTAGCCCCTCCCATCCTGACTCACCTCTCCCTTACCAGCAGACCAGTCTGTCAGAGCTCCACTCCTGGGCCCAACATACCTCCCCATCCAGGTTCTCCTGGAGGAGCTGGAGAAATTCCTGTTGCTCAGGCCCATCCAGCTTCTTGATGAAGAAAAGCAGCTCCCACCATTCAGCCTGGCTCAGGCATCCAGACTCTGTGCTGCTCTGAGCCTCAGGTTTAAGGTATGGCACAGTATATAGTCCCGCAAGGGGTTTCCAGTCTAAGGAACGAGGTGCTGTTGGCACAAGCATGAGAATGTGATACTGGACCCACTTAGGGCAGCTCCTAGTCAGGAGCAGTGTCTTTCTTCACTCACTGTTCCTCTAACTCAGACAATCCTCCAAATACTACTCCCCAAGGAACCCATGTGCTTGCTCACCTATACCTGAGGCCAGGCACTTGCTGCCCCCTGCTCCTTTCTCTGGCTCAGTAGCAACTTTGTCCTCAGTTATAGGGCCCAGAATCTCCACCATGTGCCAGTGCACCCAGTATGTACGGCCTGTCGACTGCCACAGCACCTGGGGCATGAAGAGGGGAGGAAGTTTAGTCACTTGGGCCAGGGGGAGCAACCTCAGGTAGAGGCCCAGACCTGGGGCACATAAGAACCCTTCCAATGAGAGCCTCCATAACAGCCACTCACACATCCGGGGCTTGGGCAGCTCTTCCTAGAGCGGAGGCTGGGGGAAGACAGAAAGGACCCAAACATGTATCTCTCTCCTCTGCCAAATGAGAAGAGAAGGTGGATGACAATATACTTAGTTGTTTCTGTTTCCTTCTCACCTACCATGAATCATCTCCCTATCTGGCCTCTTAGTGCCATCTTCTCCAAAGGGTCATTCCCTTTCCCTGGGGATGGATGAGGTGGGGGTGGGGTGGGATGGGGAAACCCATAGTCATTCTCTAACCTTCCCCTACTCTCTCTAGGTTTTCTCTTTCTCTTCTAGTGATGCTGCTGTAATCCAGCTTGCTTCATGACCTGCTGTGTACACAACTACCCTCCCCCATCCTCCAGGTCACCATTCCCACCTCATTCACACATACCTGTACAGGGGGCATTCCATTGTTGCTCTGCCGGAACTCGCCTTGGTCCCCAGCACTGATCTCCTCATAATCTTCCAGCATTCGAACACGCATCCCTGGCTGCAACGTCTCCTGAACGTAGTCAGCATAACCACTCAGGCTCGAGAACTCAGACCGCGGTCTGAAGGCCCGGCTTGGCCTCCTGGGGGAGGGAGGGGTAAGCAGGGTTGGGAGAATGGTGCTTGGCACAGATGATCGGGGCTGAAAGATAGATCGGGCAGGCTGAGGGGGAGATGCAGGCTGCCTCCCTGGGCCCCGGTCCCATCCCATGCCCCGAACCAATTCTGAAATCAGGTTGCCCATGGCCATGCTAAACTCCAATTCCCTCTGTCCACGACTCTTCTCCACACTGCAGGCCTTGTTAGGGGAGCACCGGTTCCCCCACTCCCCAGACCCTGGCTCCACACTGCTACTTAGCTGGTCCAGGAGGGATGTGACACACAAGTAACGCTTCACTAACGAGAAGAGCAGCTTTCCAGGGATCTGCAGGATAAACACCCTAGGCTCAGGTCAGCCATCTCCCCACTTTGCTGCTTCTAACCATGTTGCCAACAGATGGGGGTGGGGTAAGGGATAAAAGCCCAGCCCTCAGCCCTTTTCCCAACTCCCTTAGGTTACCTGGGGCAGGTGGATCCCTTCAAAGGCCATGCAGTGCTCTTCAGAAGATGTGGTCTCTGCAAACAGCTCCAACAGAGTGGAGCGGCTATCAAAGTCCATGTGTTGTTCGATGCCATCCTGCTGGCTCAGGGACAGGAGCACATGGGCCCTGCTCCCTAAAATACAAGCCCTGCTCTGCATCCTGTCCCAGGGAACCCACTTACCACCTTCCGCCCAGTTCTCAACTCTTATCACCTGCCTCTCAGACTCAGTCTCTTCCACCCTCCAGTAGAACCAGGTCCTTTCCCACCAAACGGGCTGACAGGGGGAACAATCCTCTGAGAAGGGAGACTATGTCTTACACAACAACCATCTGTACTAACATCTGGCCAGGAAGTTCTAAACTCTAGGAAAGACAGAAACTGTCTCTTTCTGTTCATAGCTCTCTTTCATCAACGGCCGTAAACCTGTAGCTCTAAGGTCACTGCAACTGAGCCCTGGCAGACATCACTTTCACTCTGATGAAACCAAAAGGTGCTGACACCCTCTTTTTTGCAAGCAGTCCCTCATCCCAGGTCTCGCTGTTGTCCCACCTCCTTTCCTGCTTCCCTTTTCTTTCCCTGCTGGCCCTCACCAGCATCATGGGCTGCCAAGGCCTGTAGCATCTTCCCAGCACTCCTGCGAATCTGTGGCTCAGGGTTGCCCAGCATGTGCATGAGCAGGTCCAAGGCTCCTGTCTCCCTGAAGACACCAGCAAGGGGTCCGATGCTGGCATAGGCGCTGAGCACGTGGATGGTGTGTAGTACGGAGGCTGCAGGACTCGAGCCCCCACCACCGTCCAGCTGTCTGGCAGCCCGACGTACCAGTCCTCGAACGTCTGTGGCCATCTCTCCCAGAGAGGCTTCGTCCAGCCCCCCCGCATCCCGGGGAAAGGTGCCCACGCTCCCCACTGGTTCTTGCTGTGGTCCCTTGGCTGGTGCTCGTTCACCAAGTAGCATGGGGCAGTTGGCATAGACCTCGGGGGCTGAGAGCCACATGAGGATATGCTCTGCCTTGCCCTCTAGGGAGCTGCCACTGCCTACCCCACCCTCCTTCCCACGCTGAAGGACAGTCCAACGGATCAAGTACTCTGGATGCCCATCATGACCCTGGCGCTGCCGGAGCAGTTCCTCAGGGTACGCCTGCAGTCGTGGGCCCAGGGGCACCAGCAAATCTCTGCTTCTACGTTCTCCCACCATCCTGGGTACCTGGAACAGAGGAGGAAAAGGAGCAGAGTGAGGAAAAGCACTCATTGTGAAATAGGCATCTATGGGGACGTGGAAGAAGGTTGTAGGGCAGAATTCACTTATTATGTCAGAAGAGACAAAGGCAAGAGGAGCCCAAAAACAGTGATCAGGGGCAGGGACAGAAGCATAGGGCTATGGGGCTGCTGTAAGTGTGGGCAGGAGAGTGTTACCAGAGGGGTTCAGTTGCCAGAGAGGATGAGACTACAATTGGAAAACTATGGAAGGTAATCTGGGAAATATAACTTGGGAGTACAAGGGATAATAAGGAGTCACCATTTGTTCAAGGATTAAGAGACCGGCAATACCAGGAAAGAGAGACCCTGGGGAAAGGTGGGAAATGACATCAGGCAGGGGAGGAGTGGGGATGGGAAGGCTCAAAGAAGGGACCACGGGGACGCGAAGGATGCATGCAGGAAGGAGAGCTGGAGCACCGGCAAGGAGGGGTGAACAGGGTGTGGACGATGCAGAACTGGGATCTTTAGGGTGGGGACATGGAGCCCGGACCAGCGCCGCAGCGGAGCCCAGGGGCAAATGAAGGGGCGGGCAGAAGGAGCGTGACGATGGAACGTTCCTGGAGGGCGCCCAATGCCCCTGCGTAATGCCACTCTGGAGCCCAGACATTCCAGGACCAGGAGAGGGCGTGTACCAGACAAGGGTAGGGGGGCTGGTCAAGGGGCCAGGTCCGTTGGTCCGCCGGTCCGCGTGGCTCTGCCATGGGGAGGGATGGAGTCGGAGTGTGCGCTGGTTTATAGGAGGCCACACTCAGCTGCTATCCGAAGAGGGGGGAGATCCCCACAGGGGCGCGCTGCATTCGCCGGGGAATGGCTCTTCCGAGCTCCCGTCAACTCCCCAGCAGTGTCTACTAAGCGCTACGGAAAGCCGAAGGTCTTCGGGGTGGAGGCGAAACGACCAGAGGGGGCGGGGCTTCAGTGGGGCACCGGAGCGAACCCATGCCCTCGGCTCTCCCGCCTACCCGCTTCCTTCCCCGTTCCTGAGACCCCTGGCACTTTCCTCCTCCTGTCTCAACACCCCGGAATAGTCCTATCCCCAATACTCCTGGCACGTTCCTCTTCCCGCCCCCAGCACCGCCGGCATGTTCCGCCTTCCCTCTCAACACCCCTGGCACATTCCCCCTCCTGCCCTCGACATGTTCCTCCTCCTATTCCCAAAACCCCGGCCCCGTTCCCTCTTCCATCTCAACACCTCTGGCACACCCCTCCCTGGCACGTCCAGACACCCCTGGCGTGTTCCTTCTCTTGTCCCCAATGTCCCTGGTATGTTTCTTCTATCTCTCAGCCACTGGCATGTTCCTCCTGTCCTCAATACCAATGGCATGTTTTCCCTCCTCTAACACACTGTCCTGGCCCCAACACCACTGGACTATACCTCTTGCCCCTAGGCTGCAATAAGAAGAGAGAAACCAGTCAGAGGGAGTCAGTTTATTGGGAAGCAGGGAAGTAGATCAGGGTGTCAGCTCTGGGCAGCAGCAGAAGGTAACTTCACGTAAGTCTTCATAGGGGGTAGGGGCTTGATCTTTCGGCCAGCCCAACCTCCCTTTCGTTGCCAGAGTCCACTATTGGGTCTTTTGCCCAACCAGCGGTTTCGCCCAGCCTTTCCGATGACCCGCTTATTGTGATCCACATTTGACACCCGGCCCACTGTGGCTATACATGTCTCTAGCACCTAAGGAGGAAACGGATGGTGAGGGCAAGAGCTACAGTGGAGAAAATGGCTGGGCAGAATGCCCTGAGAGAAGCCCAGACCAGAACATAGGCTAAACCTGATAGAAAGGAGACCAACAGGACCCCCCCCTCAAAAAAATACAAAACAAAGGGCAGCAATAATGAACCTAGGTATACATAGCAGAATAGAGGCATTGTGAGGGACATGGAAAACTCACTGTGGAGTGAGTGAAGAGAAAAACATTTCCTCTTTACCCCAGTTTCAATGAGCAAAGAAACAAGGACAACCACAGTCTGTGGGTATATGGGGGTAAACTGAAATAGGACACACAGAAACCTTGAAGCATCCCAGGACCAGGAGATACCTGATCCAGAAAGGGAACATTTGTTGCCAATTCTCATGCCACCCTCCCCGCCTTCACCCACACACACCTGCATTTGCCTCTTAGAAGGCAACTGAACAATGGCTGTCCCATTGACCTTCCGCAAAAGCACACCACAGGTTCCTGTGTAAGACAGAGTCCCAACTCAGATCTTCCCCAAATAATCTCTGTATAACATATCCATAACACATAACCGAGGAACTGACACGTGGGGCAACAGGATGACAGAACACTTCAACCCGACAATAGGATCATATCCTCATTGTATTTCCTGGGGAACTGCTACCTTTATTCATGTTTCCTGGTTTGTTTTTTTCGAAAAAACATCTTGGCTAACAGCCTTAGTCATGGGGAATGAGTTTCCCATTCCACTTCTGTGGTTTCAGAAGCCCTACCCAATCTTCACACAGCCTTAATTTCATACCTGCAGCTCGGATATACTGGGCACCCCGGCCTGGCTCACTTTCCAGGTTGTTGATCAGAGTCCCGATAGGCAGGGCTCCCAGAGGATGTGCATCCCCCTCCCGGGCAGCAACTAAAAGACAGTTTAATTGGGAATCCTTACCATCTCTCAGGCCAACTCACCTGACCATCAATCAAACCCTTCACCCTCACCCCAGGCTGTGGCTTTCCCTCACCTGCCATGCGGCCAATGTGGTCAGAATTAAGGAGTATGTCTCCCACTTGCATGTTTTCAGTGGCAATGATCCAGCGTTTCCTATTACCCCCAGCAACAAGGGCAATATCTGCAGACCTGAGTGAAGTGAGGTGAAGGATACACAGGAAGGTCATCTGGGCTAATTTTGAAGCCCTAGAATCCCCTCCCTGAAGACCCTCAACTTGTCTTGGAAGCACTGTCAGCCCCTGTGCTACTCCAATGGTTTTGAATGTTTTCCTTCAGTCTCTGTTCCCCTGTTTTGGCTGAACCCCTTAAAACCTATATTTCATACTTGCCTACAGGGATCATAGCGGACGTCAATGACCTTCTCCTCAAAAGGCCCTGCGTCGGCCTCATGCTCAGGCCGAAACCGAAGAAAGTCAATCATCCGGTAACGCTGTTTGTGGCCTCCACCAATACCATGCACTTTGATGCGACCTGTGGGAAGGGGAAGAGTGTAATGCAATTCTGGTTAAGAAAATTCATACTCCTTATATGGAAAGAAGTCCTGTTCAAGGGGGTACAAAGAAAGGACGCCTCAGCTCAATACAACCATGTCATTTCCTTTATCTGTATATCTTTCCCCTCTTACATGCCAGCTGCAGTCTCTAACTTTTTTCAAGGCCTAGCTCAAAACTCACCTCCTCCAGAATGCCCTCAACAATAAGTCAAACATTTATTAATATCCCTTCCTTCAAGGAACTTATATTTTACTAGAAGGATATAATATATACCCAGAGATGTAAATACAAGATAAGATTTGAGGAAGTAAATACAAGATTTGAGGAAGAAAAGAACACCCACTATAGGGCTTCAGGAAAGGTATTTCTAAGAAAGATGGCTCCTGAGCTGAGCCTAGAAGAAAGCAAAGGGTTCTCTGAGATAGAGATAAGGAGGGCAGACACTTCATGCGTGGGGACAGAAGAAAGACTATCAAATTTGATAAGCAAACAAGTAAGCCATTCAAGTACATGATATGAGTAATGTGAAATATGTTTGGAAAGCAAGGCAGAGCCAGTTTGTGAGAAGTTTTGAATGCCAGGCTGAGGAAGCAATTGTTTGGTCATTTTTCAGTTGTGTATGAATCTCCGTGCCCCCTTCTGGGGTTTTCTTGGCAAAGTTACTGGAGTGGTTCATCATTTCCTTCTCCAGATTTTTTTACAGATGAGGAAACTGAGGCAAACAGGGTTAAGTGACTTGTCCAGAGTCATATAGCTAGTAAGTATTTGAGGTTAGATTTGAACTCAGGATTCCAGGTCTGGCACTCTATCCACTATGCCACTTAGATGCCCAGAGAATTGAGTGCTACTAAAGATTTTTTTGAGGAGGGGAGTGACATGGCCAGAACTGTTAATGTGACTATTAATCTGTCAGCTGTGTTGAGAACAAATTGGAGAGAAGGGAGATCAATTAGGACACTATTCCAGAAGTCTAACAAGGAGGTGATGAGGGCATGAACTCAGGTAGTGGTCATGTGGATGGAGATAATGGGACAAATATAAGGGATAGTGGGATTAACTAAACAATGTTTTTTTCTTTTTTTTTAAAATTAATTTATTTTGAATGATCAACAATCACTTCCATAAGTTTCTGAATTTTAAATTTTTCTCCCCCTCTCTCCCCAAGATGGCACGCAATCTGATATAGGCTATACATATATATTCCTATTAAACATATTTTCACATTAGTGATATTGCAGGTAAGAATAAGAATGCTATTTCTTAAAAAGATTTAACAAAAAGGTGGCTGTGCAATGACCCTCTGATTATTAACATCAAAGAAGGAGATGTATAAAGGACAAAGCTATCTGCCACCATCATAGAGGACGTCCACTGCAGAGCCTGCGTCAAAGTGGGTCAGTGATGTGATGCATATCTGTTGTGTAAGGTCCTCCTTAGATGCTTGTGTTTGTGAATAACTTTTTGATGATTACATCAAACTCTGTAACACTGCTTGTTGTTCAGTTTTTTTTCAGTTGTGTCTGAATCTTCGTGACTCCATTTAGGGTTTTCTTGGCAAAGATAGTGGAGAGGTTCAACATTTCCTTCTCCAGCTCATTTTACAGATGAGGGAAGTGAGGCAAACAGGGTTAAGTGACTTGCCCAGGGTCACATAGCTAGTAAGTGTCTGAGGCCAGATCTGAACTCAGGTCTTTCTGATTCCAGGCCTGGCACTCTGTGTACTTCATCACCTAGCTGCCCCTGTAACACTGCAGGACCTCCTAAATAAAAGACTATACAATCATTTAAAACACTTCACTAGCCTGGAAGGAAAAAAAAATCAAATAGATAAAAAAAGTCTATTATCTACCCACAGAGCTGGTCCATCAATATTTATATAGTATTTGTTTGCAAAGTGCTTTATATACTTTCCTTTAATCCTCCCAACAACCTTAGGAGACAGGTGCTTTTATTATCTCCATTTTACAAATGAGAAAACTGAGGCTGGGACTGCGACTTAAGTCACTTGCCCAGTCACACAGCTACTGAGTATCGGCAGCAGGATTTTAACTCAGATTTTCCTGATTCCAAGTCCAGTGATCCTTCTACTATACTACCTAGCCATTCATCCATATATCTTGGACAGAAACAATGTACCCAGAATTAAGTGAAAAAAGAGAATGGGTTGAATCATTTTTGGAAAATTGCACAGTGATTTTAATGACCTCAAGTTTCTCCCCTGAAACAAAGACACAATTTTTTTAACATTAATGTTCTTCCAGTGATTCTATATTGTTGTGAATGTTGGAATACTAGTATCTGAAAAATTAAAGTTGTAGGTTACACATAGGTCAACCAAGAAGCACAAGGAGTGTCTCACCAACAAAACTGCACAGGAGAAACAACAACTGATCAGGAAGCCTGGAAAGGTTTTGATTTGTCCTGTGAAGCTCATACCAACATCAGTGAAACAAGAGGTCTCTCAAAATATAGAAGATGATGGGGAGCATCTGAAAGATTTTAGGAAGAACATCCCATGTATGAAAGAGTATTCTGGTAACACTATGAAGAACAGATTGGAATGTAACAAAATTGGAGGATAGTGAGTCTATTAAAGCAGGCTGGGTAAGCAGAGACAGGCCTGATGTAGGGTGGTTATGATGAATGAATGAAGGGACAGATGTGAGAGACACTGTGTGGGCAGGGTCTAGGTTACTAACAGAATATGGAGCATTATAGAGAAGGAAAAAGTCAGGTAGGGAAGTTTGGAGGAGCAGCAGGTTTTAGAGACAACACCTGGTTAATCTAGCTTTTCCTGACTAACCCCATCTCACTATGGTCACTCATTTACTAGACATTTTTCCAGATACTATGCTATTTAGTCTGTTGTTGTTCTTGGCAAGAAAAATGGAGTGGTTTGCCATTGCCTTCTCCAACTCATTTCACAGGTGTGGAAACTGAGAAAAGCAGGGTTAAATAACTAGTCCAGGGTCACACAGCTAGAAAGTGTCTGAGGCTGGATTTGAATGCTGGAAGATGAGTCTTCCTGACTCCAGGCCCAGCGCTGTACCACCCACGGTACCACCCTGCACTTGTTCACAGATTGCTTCATAATTATTCTTTGGCTGCTTACTCCTTGGCTGAGTACTCCTCTGCTAACCCTCAAGACTTGGAGGTGACTGGGTTCCCACAGGTTGTGCCAGCAGAGCACAAGCTCTAGGGCCATGGCACAGATGGCATGTCTATTATCTGAGGACCAGCTTAAGAAATCAGAGGCTCAGCACTAAGTTGGCTATAGTGCAGGTGGGGTGGGCAATGATGATGAACGTGGTTGCTTCCAGCACCTCTGTATCAATACAAGTAGTGCCTGTCCACAATGACAACATCATAGGTTACCGAAGTAAGATCACAGAATCAGAGCTCAAAGGGATGTCAAGGGTTATAAACTCTTCATTTACAGATGAAAATGCTCAGATCTTAGAGCTTCCTTGGTTGCCCAAGGTCACAGTAAGTAGAACAAGGATTTGAACCCAACTCCTTGGACTCCAAATCCAGTGTTTTTTTCCTACTGGAAGGACCTCATCACCTCTGCATATTGAAGAAATTATATTTGGGGCAGCTAGGTGGTACAGTGGATACAGCACCGGCCCTGGAGTCAGGAAGGACCTGAATTCAAATCTAGGATCAGACACTTATTAGCTCTGTGACCCTGGCCAAGTCACTTAACCCGCACTGCCTCAAAAAAAAAAATCTCCACCATATAAGCTCCCTAGTGTTCAGAGACCATAATAATTTAGATACTATTTCATGGTTACAAATATTTTTCATATATGATCTCATTTTATCTTCAGAACAATTTCTGTAAAGTAGGCAGTATCAATATTATTATTCCCATTTTGCTGAGAAGAATAGCACAGAGAAGAGAGTTTAAATGACCTGCCCAAGGTCACATACTGAATAAATAGTAGAGTGAAGATTTGGATCCAGGTCTTCTGATGCTTCACTCCAACACTCATACTACACCATATATAGAAGGCCATGTTGTCTACCGCTCCGTATCCCCACCAGACCCATTATCTAGTACAGCATTCTGTTATACAGTGCACCTCAATAAATCCCTTCCCTGCAGGGACCAAGGAGCATGAGCTGGTCAGGCTTTAAAGTTTCACTAGATTTCTCCCCCATTCTGCTTACCATATCTAGTGTTATTCCTACCTGTGTGGTCTCGGCCCCCTGACTTTCTCATCTTCACTGACATAATGGTATATTTGGTACGACTCTTCCAGGAATCAGTGTTTGCATTAAGGACCCCAGAGGTCAGGAAAGATCGGCAGGCAATGAGCATCCCAGGTGAGGAAGGCTGGAGGATGACATTGCTCATCACCTGGGGACAAAGAGAGAAACTCTCCTTACTTAAGGAGTCACTTCAGGGAAGGGCATTCAGAAAGGAATTCCTTTCAGCTCACAGCATGTCACCACTAGGAAGCTGCCCAACCCACTTATTCACTTTAATTTCTAGTATGATCCAAGAATCCTATCCTTTATACTCCGAACATACTCTATAGAGGCACAGTTGTCTTGACTGTTTCCCCACATACAACTCACCCTTTTCTACTTATTAGATTTCTTTAAGTGGGATAATGAAGTAATAGGAATGACCTGGTCAGGGTGGATTCAACCAGGGAGGGTCCTCTAGATTTCCTGGAGGAGATTGTTATGAGTCAGGTTTGGAAGTTTTCCTATTTGCACAGAACTTTGTAGTTAAGCCTAGAATAGTAACAAAGTATTGCTTGGGATCCAGAAGGCTTTCAATATGTCACTGTATAAAATTTGCAAAGCACTTTCATGTATTATCTCACTTGATCTGGTCTTCATAACAACCCTGTGAGGTGGGTAGTTATTATCTCCATGTTACAGGTGAGAAAACTGAGTCTGGCAAGAGGTTAACATGCTCAATCTCCCACAGCTATTAACTGTGTGAGGCAGGATTTAGAACTCGGGCCCTCCCGTCTAACACACTATCTGCCGCCACTCCACCTACCTGCCTCAATCTGCCTCTATGCCTCAGTGCTCTCTGCAAAACGTGGCAGTTCCTCCTGGCTCTGACAATCTATGGTAACAGCTCAGATTTTCTCAAAAAAGGTCTGAGAAGGGCGGGATTATTAGCCTCATTTTAGACATAAGACCAAAGCCCGGAGCAGAGAAATGAGTACTTGGCCAAGGTCACAAGGTGGTTAGGGACGGGGACAGGGTCAGAACACAAAACTCCTGCCTCCCAGCCCCGCGTGTTCCCCAGCCCTGCTGCCCAGGCCGGGGACGGCCTCTGGAAGGAGCACAGCTGGATCCATGCCGCCCCCCGCTCCCGAAGGCCCGGGCCTCTGCGCCCAAGCTCCGAAACACTCGCAGGCCGGTTACCTGGGCGGCAGGGTGCGGGCCAACGGCCAGGCTGAGGGAGCCCAAGGCTCGGGACAGTGCCTGCAGGGCCATCGGTGGGGATCAGTTCTACACGGCGCCTTCCGGTTTCACCCCGGCGCCTTCTGATGACGCAACTCCCTGGGTCCCGTGGCGTCAGGAAGGGAGCCTGCGCTAGGAGGCGCTGGAGGAGTGAGTCCAGGTACGCAAAAGTAGGCCCCCTGGGACGTCGCTGGCCACAACCAGTCCCGGAGAGGTTTCTTGCCCGCGTGACCGAAGATAGACTCCGCCCCCAGGAGCCGTCAAAACAATTGCCTTGAGCGACGGCCATGTTGGATTTAAGGGGGCAGGACCGGCGGGGAAGCGGGCGGACTGACGGACAGACGGACGTACCAAGGGTGAGTCTCGGGCAGAATTCCGTCTTCTCCCTTCCTCTCCCCCCAGCTAGACAGGCTCCCACTCTGGCACCCCAGGGCAGAGAGAGACACCCCCCGAACAGACGGACGGACACACCCTCACCTCCTCCTCTCCCGAGGACGGACACCTAGAGACGCTCACTTCCTTTTCGGACAGACCGATGGACACATACACAGTCTCACTCCCTCCTGAGACCGACAGACACGTCACCCCTTCTTGGAGAGACACATAGACATACACACTCTCACCTCTTCCTTGGACAGACAGACACACGCAGACCCTCACTTCTTCCTTGGGCAGAGAGTTAGACACATGTGTACACATTTTCACCCCCTCCTCGGACGGACGGACAGACAGACACACACACACATGCACACACAGACCCTCACTTCTTCCTTGGACAGACAGGCAGACACATATGCACACATTCTCACCCCCTCCTTGGACAGACAGACAGACACACATCTCCCTCCGGATAAGAACCTCTTCCTTGGATAGACACCCTTACTGTTTCTTAGGACACACAGACACATATACCTTTCTTCTCTTTGGACACACAGACTGTATATGTACACTGTGTGTAAACATACACACATCCTCATCTCCTCTTTGATAGATATGGACATGCCCTCGTTTCCTTCTAGGACAGAAAGATGCATGCCCTCATCCCCAGCTAGGATAAATAGATACATACACATCCTCACTCTGTCCTACAGCAGGCATACATACAAACATCTTCATCTCTCTAGGACAAAGAGGCAGACAGACATGTGCACATAATCATTCCCTAGTAGGACAAGCAGACAAACAGTTTCTCTCCTAATCCTTCTCTATCCCAGACTTTTACCCACTCTCATGGGACAGGCATGCATTTCCAGACAGATACCCTTCCCACCCCCCAAGACAGATAAACTTGGTTCTCTCTTCCTCTTGAATAGATAGATCCATAGTTATCACTCTGTTTCCTTAGGTGACACTTGGGCAACAAACAAATAGATTTCCCTATCTCTACCTTGAGACGTAACACATACATTCTGTCAGGTTAGAGAAAATGTAACATATGTAACTATTATATATTACATATTATTATATAGCTACTATATTATAGCTTCCAGGATAGACAGACCAACCCCCCCCCACCACCCAGACAGGTAGAGGGTTATGTGCCTTTTCTCCTCTCCCCACCTCATTCCCCCAATTCATGAAGCCATACCTACTAGCTAACCTCAAAGACTCAGATTATAATGCCTTCTCTTACTCTTAGGCAGACATTCTGCTTTCCTAGTTTGTCTTGGGAAAATAACACTTGAGTTTGCAAGTCAGTAAATGTTGCTCACCAGTACTGGGGAATTATCCCTTACTTTAATTGCCTGGGGTAGAGGTGGGAGGAACAAAGCAGAATGAGAGTGTCCTCTGCTGTTTCCACATAAACCGACCCTTGTACTCTCACCTCCCTCTAGGTACAAGGATCCTTCTTGACTAATAAACCTGGGGAAACAGAACTTTGCTCCCTCTTGGGTTTCTAGGCAAGCTCTCTCCTTACTCATGCTTATTCCCCGTTAGAGGATCTGAGCTCGGGGGTGGCTTAGTGTTTCTTGGGGGAAATAGGGGAAATGGTTCTTTTGGAGGGTTTGGGGCCTGGGCATATAGCAAAAAAAAAAGGGCATTTATTCTAGGTGGGGCTCTGTGACAGGTGCTCTGAATAGTTGGGGGAGGAGGTTGAGGCGGGACTGGACTCTTGGACTTTGTAGAAGGCGTCTCCCAGTCTGCTGAGCTGAGTAAGGTTCTTTCTGGCTCTCAGCTCCTGGCTCTTGGCTCCTGCCTCAGCCCTGCAGTCCAAGTCTCTGCCCTTGGTTGGGGTGATAGGGCTTGGGACAATTACTGGGCTTCCCAATTACTGGGAAGAAGAGGGTAGAGAATAAGAATTGTAGAAGAAGTGGGGATAACCAAGGCTGAGTGAGATTGGGATCAAGGCACCTTGAGTAACTAAGAGAAATAAAGGACTAAACCTTTATGGAGACAACTATGTCCAAGCCTTGCTGCTGAGGCCCCTCCAGTATCTTTTACACTGTGAGAACTATTACTTCTCTCTTTCTCCTTCTCCAGAACATAGTTATCATCTGTCTTTCTTTCTTTTGCTCTATTATTCCTTTCACTGACCTCCTTCACCATCTCCTTCTCTCCCAATTCCAAGTCCTGTTTTTGCCATCTAAGCCCATTGTCCCTCCCCTTTATACACCAGCCTCTTCCCTTCCACTTTCTGTAATATTTGTGTATTTCTCCTGTTCAACACTTTGCTCAGCTCTGAGTTCCATTGCTCTTCCTACTATGTCTCTTCTGCTGAACTTTACTTATCTCCAGTCTTAATCTCCACACACTGAGTCTTGCTTTCCCTGATATACTAAGTTCTATTCTCTTACTCTCATCATGATATCTCTTCCTCACAAAACAAAATTGTTACAGCTCTCTCTCTCTCTCTCTGCCTCTCTCTCTCCATGATTTCTCCCCAGCCCAGGTTGGGATCCCTTAACCCAGGATGTCAGGACTGGTGCTGGGACAGCGGGAAGAGCCATCAGTGCACCGGCTGAGCCAAGAGGAAATCCTGGGGAGCACTCGGCTGGTGAGCCAGGGTTTGGAAGCACTGAGAAGCGAGCACCAGGCAGTGTTACAGAGCCTGGCTCATGCTATTCAGTGTCTGCAACATGAGGGCCATGAAGCTGGACTGGTACATGAGAAGGCCCGGCAGCTTCGCCGTTCCATGGAAAACATTGAGCTGGGTCTGGGGGAAGCACAGGTGAGATTGGGAAGACTGGGAAACAGAGGGCTGGAATGGAGGATAGGATAAGAGTAAGATTTCAAGGGGAGGATGAGTGGGTTTGTGAAGAAAATTCAGGACAAAGAACTGGGAGAGAGGGACAGGAAAAAGTGAGGGAGGTATATGTTGTGGGGAGAGGAGGGTCAGTAAAAAGAATCCTGTCAATTTTATCTTTGTAATATCTCTCTTATATGCCTCTCGCTCACCACTGACACCACGACCACTCCGATGCAGACCTTCAGTACCTTACATCTGGACTATTGCAATAGCCTTTTAGCTGGTTTCCCTACTACAAATCTCTGCCCACTCAAATCCATCCTCTACTCAGTTGTGATCTTCCTAAAGCATAGGTCTAACCATGTCACCCTTCTATTCAATAAACTCTAAGTAGTTCCCTTTTACCTCTAAGATAAATGATAAAATCCTCTGTTGGCTTTTAAAGCCCTTCATAATTTGGTCTCTTCCTACCTTTACAGTCTTAATACATCTTATCATCTTCTACTCTGCAATCCAGTGACACTGGCTTTCTTGCTGTTCCTGAAGCATGACATGTCATCTCCCCACTCCAGGCATCTCTCCCTTGACCAGAATTCTGCTCTTCCTCACCTTTTAGCTTCTCAACCTTCAAGTCTAAGCTAAAATCTCACCTTCTATGGGAAGCCTTCCTCGACCACTCTTAATGCTAGTGTTTTTCCTCTGTTGATTATTTCCAATTTATCTTGTATAAAGCTTGTTTATAGTCATTTGCATGTTGTCTTCCCATTAGACTGTGAGTCCGGTGAGATCAGAGATGGCCTTTTTGCCATTTCTAGCACATAGCACAGTGCCTGGTACATAGTGTACACTTAATAAGTGTTTATTGACTTGACTTAAGTAAAAGAGATAAAGGACAGAGCAAAGAACGATTGGGAAAGAACAATTGGGTTAAACTGACTAGCTAAGACTGTAGCTAGGTGGCGCCATAGTGCACAGAGTGCCAGGCTTGAAGTCAGGAAGATTCACCTCCCTGAGTTCAAATCTGGCTTCAGACACATACCAGCTGTGTGGTCCTGAACAAGTCACTTAACCCTATTTGCCTCAGTTTCCTCATCTGTAAAATGAGCTGGAGAAGGAAATGGCAAACCACTCCAGTATCTTTGCCAAGAAAACTCCAAATGTGAAAACCCCAACAAAGAGTTGGAAACAACTGAAAAATGACTGAACAAAAATGATTCAACAACCCAGTAAGAGAGAGCACTTTCTGTTTCACATGGCTCTGGCCTCTGCATTTTTCTGTTCCATTGTACCCTGCTCTCTATTTCAGAGATCACCTAGTCTGTTCCTTCATTTTATGAGTGAGGAAACTAAGGCTCGATCTATGACACACCCTTATCATTTCTTCAGCTGCCCTCCTTCCATACACCTGGTGGTTTTAATAGGAGTGTAGATTTAAAGACGAAAGAGAATTTAGAGGATGTTGAATCCAACCTCTTTTATAGAGGAGGAATATGAGACCCACAAAGGTGAAATGACTTTTCCAAGATCACATAGATAGTAAGTTGCAGGGCTGGGATTTGAACTCAAGCCCTCTAACTCCCAGTCTAGTGTTCTTCCCACACTGCCACAGATCTTTCAGTCTAATCCTCTCTTCCCAGGTGATGCTGGCTCTGGCAAACCACCTGGGCACAGTGGAGTCAGAGAAGCAGAAGCTTAGGGCCCAGGTGCGGCGATTGTGTCAGGAGAACCAGTGGCTTAGGGAT